GTCTTATATTTCTACTACTACTTTCATAATCAACTCACAAACTGTCAACTGTAACTGGACAAACGAACAATTCAACAGTTTTACAATACGAACCAAACAATGCAACAGCCAAAGAATTCTATCCGCTAATAATTGAAAAACTACGAGGTAAGTTTGACAAGTAGAAAACCGCGTATAGTACATAGAATGGTGTCACACACACTCTTTAACTAACATTCATGTACGTATGTATACATAAGTAGGTACTGCGGCCAGCGATAGTGATGAGAATTACAATAAGTCATCATCTCCCGATCCAGTTTTAGAGCTTCAATCCTCGGATCCATCAGCAGGTGAAAGTGATGAAGCGGCTTTTGAAGACCAGCCCATTGACAATATGGAGGGTGGGATTGATGTGTACGGACTGGCCGAGGATAATTGCAATTCACTGGGTGATTCGAACAGCCATGAGCTGAATGTGAGTAGTCGCAGTGACAGCATTGATTCGGCAGGTGATAGTCTGAGTGAATCAGTTGATGATGAAGGCGAAGAGGAGGATGTAGATGATGAGGATGTGGTTGAAATTGATGACGACGACGATGATGACGACGACGACGACGAGGAAGACGAGGTAGACGATGACGATGACGAGGATGACGAAGAAGATGTCATTAGTAGCAGCGGCGATGATTTGCCAATCGATGATCCAAATTCGATAGGCGCTGCAGCGGGCACCGGCAATAATTCGCTCTCATCGCGTAACTCTTCGAGTGGTGGCGGCGGTGGTGGTGGACGCAGTCGAAGCGACAATACAACGCACTCCTATTCGAGTTTGTTGCTAGAGGAGGAAGACGATATAGCGCCGGTTAATTTGAAATTCACCAAAGAACTGTCATCGCCGGACTTGGATGTCAGCAATGGTATGTGGCGGGAGAGGAATTGAAATTTAAATATTTATACCAATCTTTATTTTCCCTACATGGCAGGAAACAAGTTGCCCTCAACTTCATGTAGTGACTCGGAGTCGCCAACGGAACCGTTGACGCAGCGACTCGCAGCAATTTTACGCTCGAAGTGTGGTGTGTCAAGCACAGATGATAAATATTAAAGCGAGCGAGCGAGGGAGTGACGACAAGAAAAGTAAAACTTTAATACTTACATATAGAGAACGCATAAATATCAGGAATATGGCAAAAAAACATTGCTACAAATGCATAGTAATTAATAAATATTTATATGAAGTACTACATATATACATATATAGATGAATAGACATACATATATATTTTGATGTAATCACTTACGTACGTACATATGTATTGAGATGTTACAAAATGTATCGACGTGTTTATATATTTCATATATATGTAATCGAAACTATATATACATACATACATACATACATGAATATAAAATTTTCGTAAATCTAGCAAACAAATGTTTGAATATATGTACTGTACATTTATGTTGCCGTTATAAAGGCGATTTTCTCGACTATAAACAACTATACAATAGTGATTAAAAGTGATGCAACCCATGAAACCTTACGAGTAACTCGCAACATACTAGTACAGATATTCGGTCTAGTGGACATATAAAGGTAAAATGAAGAGCTCAAGGATGTTAAATTTATAACTGTATACTTTATAAAAAGAATAGTCACTTATGCAACTTATACTTATTGATAACGGTATGTGTAGTTTTTTTTTTTAATATTAAACAAAAATATTTATCAATAATTTAGTTATAAGCAAGCAGTAATATCTTAGAATTCACTTTGCTAAATACAAGTCCCCAAATATCGTTTGATACACAGATTATAGCGTCGTCTCAATGAAAGCATATAAAATATCTGAAAATTTATATTGAAAACGGCGTTTATGTACAGAACATATCGCGCAGTGGAGTTGATTTCGTAATTAGTATTAACGCGTAACATTCCTGCATTGAAAGCTACTAGTTATGAACTAGAATACCACCAGTCTTCTATCTTCAGTCCACATTTTTTTATTTTTACTTAATTGAATATTTTTGTGGCTGAAATATTTGCAGCTCATCGTTCCGTATCGGACGGACATGTTGAGAGAACTTTAAAGTGATATTGTCGTTCACGGAGAACTTTAAAACTTGTAGTTTTTGACATAGCAATGTCCTAAGAAATGTAAATTATCAACCTATGCATCAGTAACAACTTGTAGAAATATTAGCAACGTGCAGACAGGTTGAGAAGCTGCAGAAAAAAACGTCTGTTAATTCGCTTTTGAACTTACTTCTCGAGATATATGAACAGCGCCTAAAGTTGTACAATAATTAATTTTACTTTCCCCACATATGTATGTTTAATCAATTTTTTACCAATTTTTTTTTTACTAATATCAGCTTTTGGATTTCGTAACTCCGATTTGTTTCATAATTTTTTATGTTATAGTAGCAATCGAAAGAGGCCTGCAATATTTTTTCAATCTTTATAAGATAAAAATACTACGTTGTAGAGAGAGATACTTTTGATTTGATGCAATGAGAATTCTTGGCGTTGAGTTAGACACAATTTGTTAGTTTTTCGTTAATTTAAAAATTTGAAAACACAGATCCCTTTACTTTCCAATTATCGGACTAAGCTTAAAAGTTAGGAAATTAGCGACAGTTTTTTAGAAACAATTTTCAAGAAAATTGGAAACCAGTTTTTTTAATCAAAATTTTAAAATTTCGAAAATTGTTTAAATTCTTTATTACAAAATTGTTTTTGTTTTTGAAAAATTTTTTAAATTTTCCAGTTAGTAATTTTCGCAGTTTTGGTATCTTGAAAACTGCCAGACAAAAAAAAAAATAAAACAAATCGTTTGAATCAGTGATTTCGAAAACTGTTCATGTCCAGAATCACTTTTTTGTTGTGGTTGATTTATACACAAATATTCAAACTTAAATTAGGTTTGTCGTCATGAGTTTTGTGAAATTTTCTAGGCCTGTTTTATAATGAAGTCGTCGTTTTAATGACAGGATCTCTATTCAAGAAACAATTTCCCTACCAAAGCTATTTTTTTATTTGCACGTTAATCATCTTTCAAACTTTTATAGATAATATCCAACTAAAACACGTATTGTTTAGCTTATTTTATTTTTCTAAATAACAACTCATATGTGAACGTATTAAAAATGTTTTTGTTGAAATGTAATGAACTTTGCTTGTACTGTCTCGAAGGTACTAACTAGTTGAACATATCGTGCAAAAAACACAGATACTTTTGCTACATAGAATAAAAAATAGATGTTACTCGTATAACATAAGCATTGAATCATTCATCAAATGGACTCACATGTTACTTTATTTAAAAATTAGTACTTAAACATTCAAAAATTACCTGCATATTAAGTATGTACTTCTTTCACAATACATAATATTGTGTTTCTACCATCCTCGAATTGCGCAATTTCAATTTTAAAACATGCATCAGCATCCCTATAAGAAAAGCACTTACCAATTCATGCATTTTGCTTATAGTCAGGATGGTACAGATTTTTAAGCTTACTTTTTACCATAAAAATCCGGTCTACATTTATCAGTAGGTCTCGGATTCATATGTTAAAAAATACGCCTAAAAATATGTACCATAATAACTATAAGCAAAGTGTATATCAATTTATGTACAGTCAGTGTCAAAAATATGAATACCCTGAAGTTTTAACGCTTTTTATACTTTCCATACCCAAATTTACTTATTTTTTATAAAATATAGGTAATTAAATAAATAGCGAAAACTCGAGAATCAATATTTTAATACAGCTCGAAAAAAAGCAAGAAATGCCGAAAAATTTGGATTTTTGATTAGATTAGATTTTGTTCATGCGTTAGCTATATGGAATAAAATTCGCAACAAAAAAAGTTCTAAAAAATCAACGGTAACTTTTATCAACTTGAAATTTGGTGAAAATTGTTTGGCATTTCTTGTATTTTCCCGATTCTTGTGGGTTTGCTGTTGAATAATTTACATTGTAATGAAAAAATAAAAAAAATTTGGTATGAAATATATAAACAGACTAGCAGACCCGGCGAACTTCGTCCCGCCCAAGATTCATTATTTTATTGAAACATTTTGGTCCAACATTTCAACCAACAATTCACGTTAACGATTTGTCTGCTAATAATATGGTTTGGTGGTCGTCGGAAGGCATACTTCCAAGGCCGTCTTAAATAACCCAACGAAAGTGTTTTGTCCGCGAAAAAGTTCTTGTAATTTGTCCAATGATCGGGCGTTTCAAAGCGAATAACGGAATAAATTTTAAGCACTTTATCCTACTCACTCTCTGGTGGCAATAATGATCCGGTTCGATGGTCAATCTGTCCTTAAAACTGTATTGTATATGTAGTTGGGGGCGATTTCAAAATGAGTGAGTATCGTTGTTCTACAGAATCCCAATGTACATACATAGACTTATTTCCGACGAAATATCTTAAATGTCTGATGGTTGATTTAACGGATTGACTCCTGGACAACTTAAGCCTGGTGCTTTAACGCAGAGTAAATAATATTCGTAAATCACATCCATTGGGCCTGTAGGAAAAGACGGGAGCTCGACAAAATCAGTGGTGCAGTAGATCGACGTAATCGGACATTCACGGCACATTTTCTCACTGGATGTTTTTAGGTAAAACCCGACTCCAGCGCTATCTGGCGACTTTCTTTTGGATATGTATTGCTCATTACCAATACATATCCCGAATATGAGCCAAATGGCATCATAAATACGAATTTTTAGTAATAACTCGACTTCACCTGACGGTTAAAACTGTGAACTGAAACTCAATGAGTCAGTAATAATCACAGCAGTAATGAGCTAAGGTTTGTGACTTTATTAGAATACGGCTGTTAATGTTGAAATAATTCGTTTTCATTGTACGGAACCAAAAAATATTATCAAAGTTAAGACACACCCCTTTCCCACAGTTAAAAATTAAAGAACACTCGCAGTAATAGTTAATTTCCACAAAGCCTTAACGCCAGTATTAGAAGTTTAAAATTAGAGGGTTATTGCGAATATTAAGACAAGCAAACGAAAGTAAAAAAGCAAAAGGGAAGATATAAACCTTGCGGATCACACCCGATCACACTATGTTCAAATTCAATTGGAACTTACCTGTACTCTTAACTGCAGTTAAGGTTTTGGTGGAAATGAGCTCTAAGAAAATTTTCGAGTCGCATTCATGAAATTGAAGTTTTCCTATGACCAAAGCTAGAATATTAACGCAATTTTGCAATACGAGTATGTAGCGCCCAAATTGCGCAATTTGTGGGTCGTAGAAACAGGTTATACCCTTATTAGATATATTCCTCGCAACCGAATCATGACTGCGACTGAAAAAATAAACATTTAAATTATTAATATTATTTGTTCTTTAAAAGGCTGTTTTCCTTTGTAATATTCACAGAAGATGTGCTTCACTTTTTAACTACGTAAAATATCCAATACGAACCCAGTTTTATTTTTTATACACGAGCGCAATTGGCACAAGGGTTTTATAACTTTGTTCGGAGAGCGGTTGCTTGTAACAGCCTAAAGGAATCGAGAGAGATGTAGGGCTTGTTCGAGTTGCAATCACAACCGCAGTGTTGCGCTTAAAGTGAATTTCTAGCAATGTATTATCAGTTGGGCAGTTGCAACAATGTTGCCATTTTTCATCAGTACGGCAGTAATGCCGCTTTTATTACGTGCCTCGAACAGGCCCGTACATATACATACCAAAATGCTCAGTATGAACCCTGCAGCAATAAGGTGGCCGTTTTCCGTAAAGGACTTGTACTTCACTGGTTAAAATTTGACTGGTCTGAATTGGACATTTGCTTGCATCGAAAATGTCAGCCTTCGACCAGTTCCCAAGGAACCGGACCAGAGATAGACAAGAGGTACAGTTTGGCAGCGACAGGGTGGTGTCTTGCAATTCAATAAAAAAAATTTTAAGAACACCCCCTGTAAAAGTCACAATCGCTTGGTCTGGCCTTGATGCAAGCAGAAAATTTGAACACACATTTACATGCGTGGCTGTAGCTCAGTGCGCAGACATGCTTGCCACTATTTGTTAGCTTTCAAGAGGGTCCGGTTTCAAATGCCGTCAGAAGCAACATGGTTATAAAATGATAAAATTAATTTTTTTTTTTGTGTTTCCGAATTATCAAAAAGCATCTACGAAGTGCAGAACGCAATCTTACTCCAACGAAAAAATCTCCAAAATTGGACTAGTCCAGGACTATCTTACGGTCAGTGTTGATTGGATCGGTCCTTTTCCAATGACACGCCAATGCTAAAAATGGCAGTTGAAACCATTGGCAGGGGAATTATGAGGGACTAGTGCTGGTACAGTAGGGGCTATCTGAGGGCTAACCTAGGGTGAGTCTGAATTGCTGCAGGGAAGAGCAAAGCCGCGTAAGAAATGTCTGTGTATGTCCGTCTGTCCGTGTACACGATAAATTGAACAAAAATTAAGATATCTCCACGAAATATGGGATACTTACTTAATACTTTCCTACTACCTAATACTTTCCTTTATCCAAAGTAGGTTTGTTTCAAAAAAATATTAAAACTACGATATTTCCGTAAAGACTGGAACCAAATTGAAAGTTGGAATGTGAAGTAGAATTTCGGCATAAACTAAGATAATTTTGGAAAATAAGCGTGGCAACGCCTACTTATGAAGGAATTCTGTAAATCGGTAGACGCTGCACCATCCCCCCTTGCTTATCATGTAGCTACCGAAATTTAATACCTGCGTACTTGCAATTTGTTTTGCCATTGGTCGCAATCATGATTCGGTTTATAAGGAATATTCGGTGTAAATAAGTGCTACACACATATGTAAGTATATATAATTTGTAGACCCATATATCGGCATTACATAGAACTGACTAAAATCATAAGAAGCAACCAACATTTTTCATCTACATGCAACAAATAGAGACATTTTTAACCCCTTATTTATTAAGAATTAATTGATGCAACCTCAAAGGCAGGCGTTCTATAAAAACAATATATGTATGTATGAATTTCGATTTTTTCATTACCTACATAAATACATAAAAAAAATACAATTACGCATTCAACTTAGGCATAGTAATTCTTTACGTAACTAAGTACTCGTATAACACGCATTTATATTCATTAAAAGTTTATCAAAAATTTTCATTAAAAGCATTAACACTCGTAAAAGAAAGCTAACAATGTAAAGACTTTAATAATAGAGAGAGACTTCGAAAAAAAAATTAAAGGATATGGATTATTAAAAATATTAGTTTAAAAAAATAATTTGTAACCACTACTATTTACTATTTATACTAAACTGAATATTTACTCAACTTAGGAATGCATAGAAACATACATATGTATATATGTATTCACATCCATGCATACACAATATGCATTTTTGTATGTGCATATGTATGTGTGTTTATACATATGTATAGTACTGTTTGTATTTACATATAAAATGTACTTTTCCTCTAAGCATATTTGTTACTAAAGTACTTAGTAAAACTACATATATTAAAGAAATTATTTATTGTAAAATTCAGAGATTAAAAATAAATATGTACGTATACTCGTAGAAGGAAAACATATAAAATGCATGAAAGCATATACCATAAATAATTATGTATGTATGTAGATACATCATATGAATTTCGTATAAATAAAAGAAAAAAATAAATAAAAGAACAAAACATTTCGTAAACACACAGACGAAAAAGGACAATTTTTTCTCTTATTTGAAAAGGATTACAAAAAGTTCGCAAACAAATTGCCAACAACGGAGTTAAAAATTCCAATAAGCTAAAAAAAAGAACTGCACAAATAATCATTTATGTACTTACGAGAAGCAATTGGGGTTTCTAACAATTTACCTCAGTGCTTAGCCATGCTTCCACGTTTGTTAGAACTCTATAAACGTCGAGGCCGCACATCTTATTATGAAAACAGTCATACCTACGTGTTCGTCTCGGCGAGCAAAAGGTTTGTAGCCACGGTTGCCACACGACAAAAAATTTTATGACCAGAATTTACAAAAAAGGTTACCAAGTTAAAAACAACGTTTTATTATACAAAAAAAAAATGCAATAATAAAAACAAACCTCG